AAAATCTGTCTTTGGGATTCTGTCCCCTCATGTGAGAGCCACAACACTCCCACCCCAGTAACTAGAGTAAAACTATCGTCCTTGGTAGGGCTTAAGCAAAGAGGCTGAGGAGGGCTGTTGACTTAATTAGCTATCAGCAACAAGGGCAGAGATGCCGCGTGGCTTCGATTCCCCAACTTTTGCAGAACACCGTTTAGGCTGAGCTCAGCAGAAGCCATGGCAATTGTCACTGTGCTTCAGTGGGAGCATCCACACATAGTCCATAGTCTCACATTCCAGGGCAGATCCCGCGGGGAGCCAGTGGACTGGGAAACATAACGGGTTAACAAGCACCTCCACATCCCCAGCAATTCGGGAGGGAGACCACACTGGTTGATCACTCCTTCAGCCAGAGTGACTCCTGTGTCACTTGTCTCCAAGTGACTGTGTTTAGGTTTCTGATAAAGGAACTTACAAATATGCTGATGTACACCCGCCACACTCAAGGTCCTCTAAAACACAGACAGAAAAATGTTCAGGTTTGAGACTGTCCCTGTCCCCAGTGGGTAGGCTCTGAGCGCAGGAGGTCAGGTGACCAAGGAGGTAAATTCATTCCGGGCCCCTCCACCCCTCTGTCTGGCTTTGTGGGCTTCAGGGCATTCCCCTGACCCGTGGTCACCCTTGTCCTGTTGTGTTGGGTAGGGCACAAGAAGCTAGTCTGGTGATGGCACCAGGCAAGTGACTGCCTTCTCCTAGTATATGCGATGGGGAGGTGTCCGCCCAGCCTGTAGAAATCCAGGAAACAGAGTGCGTGGGTGAAAGGAAGAGAGAGAGAGAGGGAGGGAGAGGCTAGGATTACTGTGTGGGTGGTTGTGAAAGAGAAAGAGATTGGAAAAAGACAGGAGGAGAGAAAGTGGCTCAGTCTGCATGTGGGTGTGTGACAGTGGACCTGCAGGAGTGACCGTGCCTGGAGGACAGGCCATGAGTGTCGAGCACACGAAAGTGAGAAAAGGACGAGGTTTAGCTCTTGTCTACAGGAAGCTGTGTGCTTGTGTGAGAGCACTTGCCTGCGTCTGCATGGCCTGAAGTAGGATAGAAGCTATACAGACAAGCCTGAGATTCTTGTCCACATGTACTGTGATATGATGGATAAGGGGTTGTTTGGGAGTGCGTGTGCCAGTGTCTGCCCATTGCACATATATGTGCCAGGGTTTGATAGCATTCACACATGTATAAACTCTAAAAGTCATATATGGGAGGATGTTTGTCTGAGAATGGGGCATAGTCTACATTGTGGTGTGCACATGTGTTTATGAATGTATATGGTATGTACGTTCGATCAAGCAGCACGGGAAGGTATATGTAAACCTGTGAGCAGTGCTCTCCCTTGTCACCTTCACACACCTGTTAAAGTCACTAGGGTGTGGGGCTCCCTACCCAGCCTCCTGTGCCATCTGCTCTTTTCCAGAAGCCCAAGGGACAGGCTTGACCTTGACCAGACTCTGTCAGCTCTCTGCCTAATAAAATGGATGTAGTTTGTTTTCCTCTGCTTCATCAAGATGGATGTGGCCAGGGCAGACTTCCCATACAATCTATACTGGTACCCCTGTCCTCCTACCCTTCTGAGGCTCAAGGTGGTGTCTATTAGAGTGACAAAGGCCCCCGAATTCTCTAGATAACCCTCACCATCAAAATGGCCCCTGGCAGAGGAGAAGCTGGGTCAGCAGCGGCTCACAGGTCTCCCCCATACAGCCGAAGAAGAGGAATGTGCCTTGGCTGGGTCCCCCACCCACTCTCAGAGCCTGAACAACCATTTTCCAGCCCCAGGTGGGTGGAAGAACACAGCCTGCTTCCTTGTCTCCATGGAAACAAAGCAGCAGAAAAAGTATTTAGAAGCATGGGCCCAAGACCTCCCAGGGTTCAAATCTCAACTCCTCCACCTACAGGCCATTGGATTGCAATTTTGACACTTTTCTTAAATTCTGTGTACCTAGTTTCCTCACCTGTAAGGTAGGGGTAAGAAAAGAATGAACTAGGTGTGGGAGGCACACCTGGAATCCCAGCAGTGGAGAGGCAGCTGTTCAAGGTCAGCACAGGTTCCTTGGCAAATTCCAGGCCAGCAAGGCAACATAGCAAAATAAAAAGAAAAGACGAGGGAGAGGAGGAGGAAGAAGAAGAGGAGGCAGCAGTGGCAAGTCTGAACTCCCTAAGGCTATTCCGAGGATGCAATGAACTCATCTGTATAAAACATTCGATACAGAGCCTAGCGTCCGAAAAGAGAAGCCTGGGTTTCAGCCTTCGATTTTGCTACCAATCTACTGGGTGACTTTGCACACTTGTCGTTTCCTGCTTCTCTCCTTCTGTCTCCATCAGCCCTGCAGACTCGACCTTCAGCTGAGAAGAGGACGGTGGAGAAGATGGCTACCGAGCAGGGCTCTTTCTTGGTGAACTGTGGACCATCTAGCGTTTGGCAGAGGCCTGATCACATTCCTCTATCAATCAGGCTTCTCTCAGCCACTGCTGACATGGAACTTGAACTTGAGGCTGCAGTCCCTTCTCTCTTGCCAAAGGCCCTGTTCTGCCCAGCTCAGTGGTTACCAGCATCCACTGACTCCCAAATAAAGTTCTGCAAGGTGCCTCAGGCAGACGACGAATGGCTTGGACTTCAGTCTGCCAGGCAGCACTCCAGAAAGCCAGGTTTAATAGCGGAAGGATGGGTGTGATTGTCTGAAGATGCTTATGATCCTCTCTGTAATGAGAGGAAGCTTGGAGAGGAAGCCCTAAGCTGCTAATAACCTGGCAGCTCCCCAGACTTCTTCCCTCTGGCTCTCTAGGCAGAGGGAAGAGACCTGCCACTCCCCATCCCCGGGGAGCAGAGAAGCCATTGAGACTTAGATCCAAGACCACCCAGATTTCAACTCCTTAGCAAGACCAAGCTTCCTTTGAAAAGTCTTACTGCTCCCTTCTCTCCTCCTTTGGCTGCTCCTGCCCCTCTGCCCCTAGAATGCTCAGACCGACTGGATAGACAGTAAAGAGACAAATGAACTGGGCTATTCATGAAAAAGACACAGTGAGTCTCAGGGATGACAATGACTGTGTACCTTGGATGGGTGACCTGATTACTGAGTCTCTGTTGCCTCATCTGCCCTTCCTTGGAAAACTACAGTAAGCCAGAGAATGAGATCCCATCAAATGACCCATGGGCTGTGAGATGCCACCAAGGTAATTAAAGGTGATCTTTTCTCCTCTCCACCCCACCTGTAGTTGCTACCCTTCCAGGGTATCTGCAAAAAGCACACTTTCAGAATAGAATCCTAGCTGACAACACAAGGCCCCTAGTCAAACAACTATGGTTGAACATGTTTGCCACGTCCTGTACCAGTCACTTACGTTCCTGAGCCTCCATCTTCCATCTTTGTACTGGACTCTGCTGTGAGACTGCAGGGAGCCCTACACAGACGCTGTTAGCACAGCAGCAGCCTCTGCACACAGCTCAACCAACAGCAGCTAGGCCATTCAGCCAGCAACGATCGTTTCTATTTCACTTTACACAGCTACCTAGAGCACTGTAAATTTTCCAAAACATAGTCACAGCTAAGACCGTGGCACCCTTTCAACGGCTCCCGCTTTTATTCTGTTTTCACAGATGAAAAGGAACAAAAAGATGAGCTCACCAAAGGGACTTGCTAGGGCTTGAATACTGAGCACCGGGCTGATAACCCAACATCCTACCTCCTGACCCAGCTGTGGCTCCGGGGAAGGAGAGAGAGCGAGCCACAAAGCCCCTCAGGTTCATGAGGACCCACATTCGGGCTGACTCTGGGATCCTCCTCCCTGCTTAGAGACTCTGAAGGCCCCTCATTGCTCCCGACCAGCTCTCTACAAAACCCATGCCTCGGCAGGGACTGGGACCAAAGGAGATGACCAGAGCCTGGAGAGAGTTACTGCAGAGAGCAGAGTGGGTGAGAAGGTTGGCGAGGTGCCAGCTCTGGCGTCGTCAACAACACCTGCAGAGAAATGAAGTGTTCCTCCACTCTCTGGACGTACAAGCCCTCCCAGGACTGTCCCCCACACACTCTGCACCCTGGGCACTTGCTGGCAGCAGCTCTCCTGCCTGGGCAGATGGTGGCTCAGCTCACGGTCAGCCCTATCCCCAGTGCGAACCCACTTCATCTCCATTGCCATTGGCCAGCAGCGGAGGGACTCAGTAACCTCCTCTGCCTCATCCTGCCTGCTCTGAAGGCCCCAGCTCTTACTTGCCCCAGGAGAAACCGATCTTCTCCCTCCACAAGCTGTCACTGGATCTTGCTGCAATCCAGGTGACAAGGCTTCTGCCTTTGTCACTCAGCCCTGACAGATGGAGAACCAAGGGCTGAGTGAGGACCCTTTGCCTAGCTCAGCCATCAATATGCTTAGGGACCCTGATGAGCACTTTCCTCCTTTGAGTCTCAGTTTCCCAATGGAGGTCAGCTTACACTAAAGGCTTCACTCTGCCCGGTCAGCACCTGTGAGGCGATGACCGCTGTCAGTCAGAGAGTCTGTTTGTGTAGAGCTCTGTAGGTTTAATGAGGGGCTCTGCCCACTCAGGTGCTCAGGACTTCACAGTCACTTGCTACCAGTAATGGCTAAAGGGCAGGTGTGTGGGGTTTTGTCAACCAGGTGATATATAGGCTTTCTACTGACAAACAGCTGGAACTGCACATATGACCCAGGTGCCCATCTCCCCACAGCTGGAGATCTGGGCGTGCTGGAAGACTTGTGATCATTGTTAAACATCCTGGGAAAGCATGCTTTAAAAGTCCCTGATTAGCCAGGCGTTGGTGGTGCACGCCTTTAATCCCAGCACTCGGGAGGCAGGGGCAGGCGGATCTCTGTGAGTTTGAGGCCAGCCTGATCTACAGAGCGAGTTCCAGGACAGCCTCCAAAACAATACAGAGAAACCCTGTCTGGAGAAAAAAAAGTCCCTGATTAAGGCCTTGTGGAGTTTTCTATGACCCTAGGGAGAAGGGACACAAGCTTACCTGGTTTGGGGGCCACCCTGGGCCCAGGGCTGCTGCTGCCAGTTGCTGTCATCACTTTCCTGGCCTGTACCACATCGCAGTCACGGCTGGCTGTATCACGGTGCTGGAACCCATCTCGTGCCTCTCTGGAACAGCTGGGTGGCTGGATCATGCCTGAGGCTCTGGATAGCTGTGGTGTCCCATGGTTGACTCCGCTTCTGCCAGCCACCTCTTGTTCCTGGTCCACAAGCCTCACCTCTCCCTGCTGGCCGTCTTCACTGCTGCTCTCCTCAGCTTCCAGAGTCAAGCACCTGTAGCTCCCATCTGGGATCTGAAAGGTGCAAGGGGCAGGCCTCGCCTCACTGGGTCCAAGGGCTGGGGGTGGGAAGTGAGGGCCCAGCATTGTGGTCCTCTCCTTGGTGGTGCAAACGAGCAGCCCCCTGGCGCAGGGTGGGCGGCCGGTGTGAGAACTGTTCCTCACTCCTCTTGAGGCCTCCTTAGGTTCTCTGCAGATTCACCTTCTTCTGCTGCTGCACAGGGCTGGAGTGAGGTCTGGATGAGGGATGAGACAGACCTTTCCTGGCTGGGGGAAGATGTAGTCCTCCAACACTTCTCCTTACTCTCCTTAGCTCTGCTCTATAAGGACCTTCAGAGCGATCTGTCTGTACAGGAAGAGAAGGTACCACATGTCGGAGAGCTCACTGTGTGTTCGGAATGGAATCACTGAGACCCGTCCACCCCTGGGTAGCCTCGAGAGCTGGCTGGGATCTGGGGTACAGTTCTCACTCCTCCACAGGGAAGTGTTCCCAGAGGTCCGGTCTTGCAGCCTGTCATTAATACCCTGTCCTTAGGCTACCTGATACTTAACGTTTCCCTTCAATCCACTTTAAATCACATAACTTCTATTACTTTAGACTTATCTTGAGCAATAATTGCAGGAAAACCACAAGCACATAGTGCCAAGCCATCCCCTTGGCTTGTGCTGACATTAAATAAATATCTAGTTATTGTAAAACACTCATGAATTCTTTCACATCCCACCAAAGGTACACACACCACAAGAATCACAGGGACAGTGGGGTGGGGGTACACAACTAGGGTACACAGCTGGTTATAAGAGCCAACACAATGGGGTGCTGACATGGGCCCAGACTTTGAGCCAGAACCTAACTCCGCCACTTACGTGTTGGTCTCTGAGTTTCCCCTCCCCCACTTGTAACCTAGCTTGAGCACCCCATTATCTGAAAACCCCAAGTCCAAATCTTCTGAACACCATTGTGTAGCCACTGGTCCAAACCCCATCCCCAGACTTGAGGACTAACTCACAATAAGCATAAGGCTCAGTCAAAAAAAAAAAAAGCATCGTATAAAATGGCCTTCAGGCTGGGTATAAGATATGTATGAAACAGAAATTAAACTTAATTTTAGACTTGGCTTCTCATCCACAAAGCTAGCTCATTATGCATATGCAAATTTTCCAAAAAAAAGTCTAAAATCTGAAACACTTTGGTCCCAAGCACTTTAGATGAGGGATCAACTCCAATTTAGTTGTGCAAAGGGTTCTATGAAAAAATAGGCCTGGCATGGTGGCACACGCCTTTAGTCCCAGCACTTGGGAGGCAGAGGCAGGCGGATCTCTGTGAGTTCAAGGCCAGCCTAGTCTACAGAGTGAGTTCCAGGACAGGTCCAAAGCTACAGAGAAACTCTGTCTCAAAAAACAAACAAAGTAAAAATAGAAAAAGAAATGGATGCAGAACATCGAGCACACTTTCTAAGCCATTACTCAACCTATGTGGGCTACTCTTTAATGCCACAAAAATTCATCAGGCCCCTATTCTACTTCAGATCTAGTAAGAGACATGTAGTGTAGATGAAGGTATGGTATTCTAGCTCATGAAGTTTTGACATCTATTAGAGCAGTGGTTCTCAACCTTCCTAATACCGAAACCCTTTGATACAGTTCCTCACGCCATTGTGACCCCCCAACCTAAAATTATTTTCATTGCTGCTTCATAACTGTGATTTTGCTACTGTTATGAATTGTAATGTAAATATCTGTGTTTTCTGATGGTCTTAGGCGTCCCCTGTGAAAGGGTTCTTTGACCCCCAAAGGGGTTACGACACACAGATTGAGAACTGCTGTGCCAGGGAGAGCTGTGAATGATAATGAAAAAAAGGGTGATAATAGTAGAATTATTTATAAATGTTACAAATGATGATGATAATTGGGATAGGGCGGAGGCTCTCTCTTAGGGCTGAGGAGGAGGGCATGAATGGAGGTGACTCAGGGGAAGAGCTTAGCAGATGGACAGTGGGTGTAAGGAAGGAGGAGGAATGTGGGGTACCACACAGGTCTCTGGCTCTGAGGATGCGTGACGGCGTTCACGGGGGGGGGGGGGGGTGGAAACAGGGAAGGGCAGCTGTTTGGTGGAACAGGGAGGTGTCTGATGTTTAGATTTCCAGGGGAGACCTGCAGTGGGCAGGTCTCCAGGGATCCCAGAGAGCAGGAGAGAGTCCCACAGTGGGGACAAAAGTCTGGAAATCATTTGAAGAGACACAGTCTGACATGAACAAAACCTTTCCAGTTGAGGAGGTAGCCGCCAGTTATGCTTGAAGGCACCCTTGTAGTGAATGGATCTTATTGAAAGAGTCCATTCTACCACCGCTTAGCCATGGGAACTTTAGGAGATAGATGGAGGACTCGGGTGTGCACATAATCATGTACTGGCTGTGACTGACTGGTGAGAATTTATGGTAGCTTAATGACAGTGGGGTTGAGCCTGACACCCATGGCCCTTAGGCCTCTAGTCCAGGCCAGTCATCGCAGCTGTAGTAGTGTGGATTGAGGTGCTGGCCTCTGTCTGGGGCTGTACCAGGAGAGACCGGCAGGCAGACTGGGAGATAAACGCATTACCAGACCCTCTGGTAGATCAGAGCCAACCAGGGGAAGGCAGACATGAGTCCTGATCAGAGAGACAACCAAGTACCTATTAGCAGGATCTGGGAAGAAGAGTGCCTCCAGGACTGGGTATTCCTGGGTATCCACTTAGGCAAGCATCTCGGAGTACTAGACAGATGCTTTCTTTCGTAACTCATCCTAGAGGGAGGGAAAGTGAGAACCCACCGAATGAAGTGACCCAGCTGGGGTCACACCTTGCTCTGACACCTTGACCATGAGGCTGGACCTCAGACCTGGCAAAGGTGGCCTCAGGTCTTCCCTCTTCCCAGGACCCTGCTTGCTTACTGACAGACGTCAGACTCCTGCCAGTGGAGTCGCAAAGGTCTTAGACTCTCATGAAGGGGACCAGAGCTTGGCCAGGGGCCTCCTGCCCTCTGGAGTCAGTTTGCCCCAAGGGCACAATGCAACTCAGGCAGCCTGTGCTAGAGCGGCCACACGTCACAGATCCACAGTTTTCAGTGCTCAGAGCCACCCACCCCTACCCTGTCACAGAACCAGATGGCAGGAGGCAGCAAGAGTGGGTGAAGGGCGGGGGCGGAGCTCTCTGACTCCCTGCAGGGGCCTCGCCTGCTCCATCCCTGCTTCTGTTTTGCTGTATTTGACAGTGGCCACGGTTTCCAGGAAAGAAGAGAGAGGCGGAAAAGTTAACTTTCCGCCACCCACACAAATATTTTTGGCCAGCTTTGTCTTCGGGCTGCCAAGCCAGGAGGGAGGGGTTGGCAGGAGCACTGCTTCGAGCTCCCTCCCAAGGAGGCAGGGTTTCCAACCCAGGCAGGGGCTCAGCAGGGGTCCTAGCAGGCCTGTGCTCTGAGACACCACCACTCCAGAGACACAGGGATTCATAATCACAATAGCAGGCACCGCCTCCTAAGTGCCTACTAGGGCCTTTACCCATAACTCTCCAGGAGGGTGGTGGGGGAGTGTTATCTGGGCATGAGGACCCTGAAGCTTGATACCATGTGTAGAGTTTTGGGCAAGAAGGGTAAGAGGGTGGGGACCAAGGTTGTCAGGATCTGTGCTCGAAGGTGCCACTTTCAGCAGCTATAAACTGTGACTCCAGGGACTACACAGCCCCTGGAGATGCTGAGCCCATGTGGCAGCTCCATCTGTGTGGGCAGGAGAAGGCCAGTCCTGCTTAGCAGAGATGGAAAGGGTCCCTCCCAAGCTTGAAATGCATTTTCATGCACACACTGCCCCTGTCTTGCTACCAGCTCTGAGCTCTGGCAGGGGCCTACAGAGCCCACGGTTTCTCCACCAGAGGGAACTTGAAGCCCAGGTTAGGTGGCAGGTCCTAATTGAACCCAGGCACCAGCCTCAGCCCCACAGCCCAGTTGGGCATCAGATGGCCTGCAGTCCCAGTACCTGATCAGACAACCTAGGCTCTTTCTGCTGCCAGTTTTTTAAAATGGAGCCCAGTATCTGTGATGGGGGAGGGGGCCGTTTTGAGTCCTTTTGTGCAGCTCTCTATATAGTGGAGGAAGGATGCTGGCTTGGAGTCAGATCTTGGTTCAAATTCTCTCTGTCTCTGTCTCTCTCTCCCTGTTCCTCTTTCCCTCTCTCACTCCCCCTCCCTCTCTCTCTCTCTCTCTCTCTCTCTCTCTGTCTTACACACACACACACACACACACACACACACACACACACACACGCACGCACGCACGCACGCACGCACGCTGAGCTGCCTGGCCTGAACCAGTCTCCTGTGCCTCCCAGGGTGGTTGTAGGGATTTGTAGACAGAATGCAAGCTCACTGCTTTCAGCCACCAGCTGCTCCCCAGGCTCTGTGGATGCTTGCACACCAGACATTCAGGGCCAGTGACTGGAAGACCACAAGAGCCTACTACATTGTTACAAGGAAGTGAAGAAGCAAGGGCTGCCAGAGACACACAGCAGGGTGCACCGAGAGGTGCACAATGGTGTCCGGGCACGGGTCCTGTCATCACTCTCCCAGAGTCATCACAGGATCTGAGCCTCTCTGGTTTTGCCTTTTCCTTTTCTTCTTTTTTCTATTTATATTCTCCCCCCTTCTCTCTCCTCTCTTTCTTTTGACAGTCTCCAGCCCACACAGGCCTCAAGCTGGTTTTGTAGCTAAGGATAACCTTGATCTCCTGTCTACCTCCTAGGTGTGGATCACCAGGCCCAGTTTATTCAGTGCTGGGGTTACAGCAAAGGCCTTGTGCATGGTAGGCAAGCACTCTACCAATTGAGCCACACCTTTGGCTCCCTTTTTCTTTATAAAAATACTTTTAACTTTTTATTTCATCTGAACCGGGCGTTGGTGGCGCACGCCTTTAATCCCAGCACTCGGGAGGCAGAGGCAGGCGGATCTCTGTGATTTCGAGGCCAGCCTGGTCTACAGAGTGAGTTCCGGGACAGCCTCCAAAGCTACAGAGAAACTCTGTCTCGAAAAACCACAAAAAAAAACTTTTTATTTCATCTGTACAAGTTATTTTACTACATGTATATATGTTCACCCTGTGCCTGCCTGGTGCCCACAGAAGCCAGGGGTCAGATCTCCTATAACAGGAACTAATGGATGGCTGTGACCCATCATGTGGGTGCTGAGACCTAAACCTGAGTCCTTTGCAAAAGCAACAAATGCTCTTAACCGTTGAGCCATCTCTCCAGTCAACCACCCCCCACCCCCCTCTTTTTTTTGACATAGTCTCACTATGTAGCCCTGCTTCTCCCTTACCCCCACCC